GGGTATCATGCGAAAGGGTATCATGCTGCGCGCTGAGAAACGGTAGAATGGGAAAAAAGGTTTTGCGGTAAAACGGTTAAACGGTTTTACGGTTTTACCATATAGGTAAAAAGGTAAAACAATAAAACGGCAACACGGTTTTGCGGTTTTACGGTTTTACGGTTTACCGTTTTACCTAAAAAATGAGAAGCGGACTTGTTAGCACCTACCCCGCTGCTAAACCTGAGCAAGAACAAGACCCCCAACAGGCCGAAACCTTTCTGAAACTGAACCACTGGAACCCTCCTCAAAGCTGCCCCAAACCACCCCAAAGCCTATCGCCTATCTGGGCTGTCGGCTGTTGCAGAAAATAACATAGCCCACACCCCAAGAGGTTGCAAAAATAACATAGACACGTGTCCACTCTACGAAAAAAACAAAAAGGAAGTCCCTCCTTGGGCGAGGTCCCTGAAGTTCCCCTTCGAAGATACGCGATTTGGCTGTGAAAGCTGCCACTTGGCAGGTTGAAAAAATTGATACAACGCCTGCATGGGCAAGGCGGCTTTACCCCAAGGAGAGGCCCACATTGATTCAGCAGATGGCTATCCGGCAATCTTGGTGGCCACGATGCCGTCTCGCAAGTATGTCACCATGCCAGCAAAGGCTTTGGTCGCATCATGATAAGGAAATGGAACAAAAACACCAATGGCTGGGTCGTTTCCCAAAATGGGGAATGGGTCCCTGAGTTTTTGTCTACCTTGTCATCTTATTCCGCTAAAACAAATACGTTGAGCTTCCATGTTGCTCTGGGGCGTATGTCCGTCCTTGTGCCCTCTGTCCTTTCGGCTAAGCGGCCGAATCCAAAGCGCCGAGCTCCTTGAGGGCTGCGACCTCCGGCCAAAAAAACGCCGAGGTTGACGGCAGAGAGAGAGAGAGAGAAAACCCAAGCAAAACCAAAGCAAAAAACGATTTGAACAAGAGTCTATCAAGTTAGGGGAGGGGCAAAAACAATGTGAGAAGAGGCCCTGCTTTCACAACATATGAAATCAACCTTCGAGTTCTCATCCACTCTCTGTTCACTGCTCCACCGCTACACCGCTCCACCGCTCCACCGCACCAGGTGAGGTTGATTGATATGAAAGGGCTCTAGCCAAAGTCATGAAGAGCGTCAAAAGGACAAGTATGACTCTATCCGAACCTGTTTGTGGCAAAGAAACTGTCCCGTTGCTATATTAACTTCAGCTACTCGGGTTTGATCCTGAGGTAGAATAGGAAAAAGCCAAGGTTTCCGGAGGTCGACCGGGGTTTGGCCCGTAGCAGTTGGTCCGACTTTGACATATCATTGGGGGGCACCCTCAATGGGTCGACATAAACCCCACGATGTCCGTGACTGGTGAGAAATCAAACGACCCACGGGGTCCAACCTGCTGTGTGGCCACTCCTTTCATGCGCCTTGCCGGAAAATCCAAAACGACCGAGCACCGGCGCTCTCCATCCCAGGCGCCAGCTCCGCTTCTTCCGTGATCTCCTGAAACTCCGCGGTCTCCCCACCGCTGCGACGGCGCTCCGAGCCGCCACTCGCCGGGCGCTTCAACTCGAAGGCGCCGTCCCGTCGCCGGAGCCAGCAGTCCTCCCATGCGCGAATGCCGCAAACAGGACCTTGGGAGATTCCCAGGCACATGTTTGAGGCCCAATTTCCATGTTGATTTAGCATTCCTTTTGTCTGTCATCTTGAGAATTCGCAGGGAGCCAAACCGGGAGAAGCGCAGCGGCTCTACACACACATGCAAACGCACACATGCAAACTCACTCATGCACACGGACAGGCACACATACAAACATGCACACATGCATACATGCACACGTGCACACGTGCACACATGCACACATGCACACATGCACACATGCACACATGCACACATGCACGCATGCACACTGTCCATTGGCTGAATGTGACTTTGAAAAAGGATAGCATATACAGCATCCATGTCACGGCACACCTCTATTTGAATGACTTTTGGTGCCCTATTTTGGGTTGCAAGAGTTGCTAGCAATGATCCTTCCCTGCAAAAACCAGGCGGGAACACAATACGCCTGAGGATTGGCCCGTGGAAGTATATATACCTACCGGCCGAACCTTTACACGGGCCAAATAGTTCTACCCTCACAATCATGCGTCCATGTGTGTAACTATGGCTGCCTTTTTCAGGATTCGGCCACCCAAAAAATGAGTGGGTTCTCTCTTCAAACCCCGCCAAAAAGGGGGCACCCTCCACAAATTGGACAAACTCTTCCTTGTTTTTCCCCCAGCTTTCGTTTCATCAGGCCAAGTGGATCGATGGTAGCATGCGCAGCTCGTCGGCGCCGATCCCCATTTCTTTTGGGCGCGCCTGTTGTCTACGTCTCACACGTAGACACAGACAGGTACAGACAAACACACGCTGCGTGAGTTGAGAAATATCTCTCTCTCTCTCTCAACTTGAGCAATCAAGAGTGCACAGCCCAACATTCTATCGCAAGCTCGAGATTGCTCAGGGCTGGAGTTGATGTTTGACTCCGCCAAGGAGGGGTGCATTTCAAGATGAAAGGCTACGCCAACGCCTCTCCCCCAAGAGTCCGACGCAGCTGCAACTCGCTGCTCTATGTCCCTGACTTGATTGCCAACTCTGGTGCATTTCTGCAGGGCAAGCGTCACTCTCACACACACCACACACTCTCTCTCACACACATATTCACACAGCAACACACTCACACACCAACACACACACACACACACACACACACACAGGGCCTCGCCCTGTTCCATCCACAACCCAACAAACGGACTTGGGATCAGATCCATTTGCAAACAAGGAACCCCTGCAACCCAAACGAACCCCAACGGACCCCAACCGCCCAGTGACGTCCTGGGTGCAGAGCCGCCAGGCTTCGTTGTCCCAGTACTCGTCCCGGAAACTTCGGGCGCCCAAAGACCGGCCATTCAGCGCCGCCACCTGCTGTGCCAGGTCCGAAGGCACCTTGAACTTCTGCTCCTGGGTGAAATCATGGCAGTGGTGAAACCAAATGCCCCCGCCAGGAAAGGTTCTCAGAACCTTGGAAGCGGCTCTCGGAAGGCGTCTGAGAACCTTTCCTGGCTGCTTCGCGTGAGCGCACGCCCGGTTGCGCTACCATCCGTGGGCAAACCTGTGGGGCATCGGCACAAGAAACCCATGCCGCTTGACAAGCTTGTCCTGTTCGACGTTTGTCAAGCGTCCCCTTGAGACTTTGTGAAGAGATGGGTGAGGACATCTCTTCTAGCAAAATGCATTATAATCCTTAACAAACCAGGTAGCAGACCGCCCACACAATTGCCGATGTTGAGTCCTCTCAAGAAGCCTCTGGTGGTTCCAAGGGGGCTTCGCATAGCTCCATTGGACGTTCGACTGTGATGGGCCACGCCAAGACACAGAGATATCCGCAGTTTCTTTGGGGGTTTCAAGGCATTCAGGTCACGTTGAGTAGCATGGTCAACCCTTGTTCCACCTGTGGGTAAACCCATGTCAATGGGAAGGAGCCAACGCCAAGTTCAAGTCCCAGTTCAATCCTCCACAGCCATCAGACTCGTGCAGCTATGAACTCCAAAGGCGTTAGCGAGCATCACAAATAATGAGGATGTATGTCAACCAACTCATGTTCGATGGCCTTCCCCATTCCAGTTCATAGCCATACCTTGTCTGCTGGAGAGGGTGTGACTTGCGGTTGTCTTCAAATACGAATCGGTACCTCGAAATGGGTCTTCTTATTCTCCGTAAAACAGCGAAAGGGTTCCCCGGCCCACCAAGACATGTGGGTTAATCAATATTCCCTTCGGCCCCCCAGTTTTGACCATGGGCCAAACATGGGACATATCTCTTCAATCTTCCTTGCGTGGTTTTCAAAACAAAAGTTCAATTTCCAAAATGCTGTGGATGGACGAAATCCTGAACCACCTCAGAAACCCTGGAATCTGAGTGGTTTTCCAACGGTAGGCTGGTCATCCCGGACCTTTGGATGAAGCCCCCACAGACCCAAGCCTGTCCACTTCCACCAGACCCACGCGCAGGCGCATGCACAGAAAAGCCAGCGGCAGCCACAGCCGCAGCTTCGGCTTCATAGCGGAGACGACGAAGCCGGGGCCGGCTCCAGGTGGTGGTGGTAGCCGTTTTGGGGGTCGGTAAGGAAAATCAAAAGGAACACCGAATTGTGGGGGAAGATTGGGTGGGCGGCTTGTTCCCAAACTGACGATGGACAACCACCAGTAGTTTTGCCACTTGCTCATGTTGCTCATCCCACACCAACGTACAAATTGGTTGCTTGAAGTTGTTCAGCTGTTCGCCCAACTTTGAATCTTGAACGATCTGTGGTTTACAAACATCCCGCGCGGTGGTTCTCTCTTGGTCCTGCGAGAAGCTGTCTCAATCCGGGCAAATAGGTTCCCTCATTCCCTGCTGAGCACGCCAAGACTCTGAACAATCTCCGTTTACACTTGGCAACCAAAGAGACTCTGAAAGGGAAGATCGGGTGTAATCCAAGCTCCTGATTGGATGACTGGATCGTACCTCAATCCTTTGTGACCCCTGGGTTCATTCTCAACATTTTGGATCATTCCTCAACAAAAGCACCAGCATGCCCTGCGAGATGCGGCCAGATCTGCCAGAGACAACCTGCGTTCTCATCAGAAGTGGCTGCTCCGTAAGTTCGCAACTCACAAAAAGCGCCGTCTGCTGCTTCGCAGCCCTTCGGCCGGGTGACTCTCGCAAACACCTCCTGACCCAACAACTTTAGAGGAACTCCGCGCATAAAAAGACCCGAACCCCATCTGAGCCCAAAGACACTGCCCCCTTCTGCCGGGCCCTAGCTGCCGCGAGAGACCTTTTAGCCACGCTGTCCAACCAGGTTGTCTTTTTCCGCCTATTCAAATTCAGAAGAGTCCTGAACGGTGCGACACCTGGCACGCACAAGGCAGCAGAATCTAACCACCGCTGATGGGCGGGATCAGTGCGATTTCAGAGCGGCCGCTGATGACCTCACCGCCACATGCCGCAAGTCCCTGCTTCCCTCCTTCCATCGGTCGCTTGGTTTTTGCCACCACTTGGCAATCCGGAAAAAAATGACACGTGTTAAGATTAAGAAAAGTGTCGACTCAACCCCTACTCACAGTGGAACAAAACGCAATCCAATGGGAAACCGATACTGGGCACATGGTGCAGTAAAGTGGACAGGTGATACATAGCGCGTTCTACACCTCCCCACATAGCGAATGTTCAATTGACCTCTGAGGAAATTACGCCGGGGCAAAATTCGGATTGCTGGATCGACATCGCAGCTCCTGTTGGAAAGGTCCCTTCCACCACTCCAAGGCCCGAAAGATAAGCTTAGCAAAGGCCCCGCGTGGGAAATAATTGCGACGCATCCTGTTGGACTTCCTTCAAGTGGACATTTGGGGGATTTATGTCCACCACTGTGGTTCGCTAGATTTCCTAGCCAGGTTTCTACTCGAAAAGGACGCTTTGGATTCGGAGGTTGCCAAGATAGCGTAGACCCCCGTGTTGGGTCTAAGGCGTCGTGGATTGCCGAGGATGACTTCGCCTGGGCCTCCGAGCGAGGGACTCGTCGTTGATCATCTCCTTCATGGAACATGTGGGTCTGCAAATAAGGCCCCCCCCCCCTCCCCCACCCACTTCTGCCCCCCCCAGAAAAAAAAAATGTCCCCCTTAAGTTTCCCTTGAAAACGTGCGGAGAGCAGGTGGATGAGGAACAAACACATGAGACATGCCTGCTCCCACGAGCACAAGCCAGGAGCAACACTTCTCAAGCGTTGCTTCGCATGTGCGCCTCAAAGCGGGGGCCTGACACAGCATCTACACCTAAGTTCCCAAACCCAGCGCAGCTCCCTCACACCTTGAACGATTGCACATGCTTGTGAGATGGTGTGGGCAAATAAAACAAACAAAACACGAGACATCTAAAAGAGAAAGTACCAAAACGTGATCCGCTTGTCTTCTTAGGAGAGCGAGGTTGGTCTGTGTGTGTGTGTGTGTTGTTTTTTGCTTGGGGGGGGGGGGCGCAGTATCTGCATGCACAGGCTCATGTTAAAGTTATCTGTAACCCTTCTGACATATCAAGCTAGTGCGTCCTTTGATAGTTGCCCAGCCCAGAACGTGAGCTTAATGGATGCGATCCAAGCGACTGAGCACCTCACATGCGCTCAGTCGCTACGAGTGGCCGTTGAGAGAAAAGAAGGCCAGGTGGTATCAACAGCCGTGGAAGATTTCTGGAAGCCTCCTTTTGAACCCTCCCTCGAAGCTGCCCCAAACCATTTCCAGAGCCTTTCTGGGCAGTCGCGGGGAAAAGAGTGCACCCGGCATGCTCCTGCTCCCTTGGGTCTGCAACTTTTTCTCAGTTGAGAAACTAAAACCTTGATAAACCCAAAGAACTGGATTACACACCCCATGCTCCCCAAGCCTCTTGGGTCTCCAATCTTGTGCTTTTCTCAAGGTGTGTTGCAAAAATTTGGGGATCAGAATGCCTTTCCAAAGGAGTTTGATGTACATTTAATGTCAATCTAAATATAACCTAATAAGGAAACAAATCAAGTAGTAGGTCTACCCGGAGCTAAAGTTTCAATCGGAACTCCTTTCCAATCGCGATTTCAATTGAAAGTTAACTAGATGTTCACTGGCATTTAATATATATATATAGTGTTCTGTGGTTTCTTCTAATTGGCCCGACCCTTAAAAAGAGTGAACCGCCAATGGAAACTTAAGGAACATGCAATTTCAGTTCTAGTGAGAGGCCAGGTTTGAACATTTACAGCCTAAAAGTAGAAAAGTCAAAAAGGGTTTCCACGTAAAATTATAATCTAACCAGGAGCTCCTTTCCGCATAGTAAGACGTATACGTTTACCTGAACTGTAGTTAGGAGTTCAACAGAATTCAACAAGCACAGAATTCAACTAGTAACAGAACTAAAACTGCATCTGAGGTTGTATTGGGTTCTCACTCTTTTGAAGGGACGGGCCACGAGGAGAAACCGCAAAGCTATCTTTCTTTATGAAATTCCATTGTAGTTTTAGCTGAACTTCAACTAAAACCATATTTGGAAAGCACATCCTTTTGAAACTTTAGCTGAGAATAGAAATTCTACTTGACCTGCTTCCTTGTTAATTCTTATGTGAATTATAAGCACGTGTTCATCGAGCTCCTTTGGAAAGGAACATCTTTTCCAAACAGAGCAAACCTCAAGTCTTGCAGAAGAAATACCAAAACAAGGCAAAAACTCAACCTCCTCATCTATGATGTCGGCTGAAGGCCAACAAGCCTAAGCAAACTGCCAAGACCATAAAGAAGCGAGCAGTGAAGTGATGTCAGCACTGCAAAGACAAAATCCGTAAGTCTACATGTGGCCATCCGGCTACGTAGATTCCAACACCAGCTTAAAATGCACAAGGCGCACTTACCAAGAAAAGCGCACAGCGTGGCGTCCGCCGGCCTGCGGTTGAGTCTTTCATTTTTGTGTCATACTGTGCATGGACGAAACCCATTTCGCACCAGTTTGAAACCATGAAAAATCATTGTGTGTTGGTATTTACAGGCTAGTCCACTCCTGATCCACCGAGAACTTGCTCATCGGCAGCAAGCTCTTCAGTGCCGGCAGCTGCAGCAATGCCTGCGAGGAGAAAAAGGGCCCGGATTGTGGTTTCATGCATACCCATACATATGTATATATATATATATGTATGTGTGTGTGTATGGTTGATCACAAGGCCCGTTGACACATGGGACCATTGGTTTTGAACACCGCTACAAAGATGATATGTCAAACCACTAAACGGGAGAAGATACCCATGGTCTTTGAGAGCCAGGAATAATACTGATCAGCCCCCATAGAGCTGGAAGGACTTGCCATTGCGCCACAGCTCCAACACTTTTCCCTAACGAAGCGAGTTGGATATCTTCGCGAACCAGGCCATTTGGAAGCGCACTGGTCTTTGCTTCAAATCCACACATCCAAACCACTTTTCGTCTGGCCTCCCGGAGGTCCGCCACCTTAGGCTCGCCCTCCGCAGTCACCTTCCGCTGGGCGCGATGGGCTGCTGGTGTTTGGTTTGGCTTCGTTTTTGTTGCTCAGGAAACAAATGGACGACCACCAAATTTGATGGGGTACCTTTCAGGGTTCTCTCTGTTGGGACAAATCCTGTGATGGGGAAAGCGGGCAAAGTGCAGGGTTGAAATATGTCAAAGGAACTTGTTCAAGTACAGAAGGGACAAACGGCACCACTGGAGGTCTGGGTGGCGTAACCTTGCGACGTATCGGCCCATCCTTTTGCTCAGAGTTTGGAACAGCCACCTAGCTATATCGACACAACAAGCCTCGGGAATCAGCTTGCAAAGGCGCTCGTTGACACCTTGACTGACCAGGATGGCATGAAAAAAAACTCTATCGCGTCCTGCAAAATGCCGCGTGTTCGCAGGGCATCGCATTTTGGCCATGCCCTTGTGCATCAGGCATTGTCGAGACTTCAAACAGTGCGTAGGAAGTGTTCCTGAGTTGTTGCCTTATCCAAACCTGGAAAAGGCTGTTTGAACCCCGAAACACAAATCGCAGCTGAAACGAAAACCCCCACTCGTCCCAAAGATCCCGGTCACCTCTACCCGCAACTCCTCTTCACCCACGGCCTGGCGCGGCACCAATTCGGTTCTCGCACTCCCTTCATGCAAAGACGTTCATGCCAGGGGGGGGGGGGTATTTCATGCGGGAAAAACAAATAAACAAAAACACGGCCTCACAGTCTGGTAACAAGAGGCATGCTGAGCCTGGAATGTGTCACAATGGGGGAGCCCCAAAAAAATGGTTTTCCTTGCTTTTGGTGTTCCATTAAAAGCCAACGCCAAGCAGGGTAACTCATTAGAATTGCGGAACAAACCTGGGTTATAACCTACAACCGGCCCGACTTACTCAGTAGGTTGTACCCCAGGCTAACCACTTACTAACTTGGCCATCCAGTAGGCGTGGAGGTATTTTCGAACTAAAGCAGGTCATCTCACAGCTCCTTAAAAATCCAATGTCATATCGAGACATGGTTTGCGCTGAGCATGGAAACCAGTTGCAAGCATTCGACAAATATCCGAAGGATCAATGGCTTCTGCCCTGGAAAAATCTCCCCCAATGGCAAGGGGGGGGCCACAAAGGTGCCTGCCCTCAATCCACACATCGCCAGAAAGATCTGGCTTGGAAATCTTACAAGTGGTCTACGTTTCCCATAGGATTGACTAAGGCACCATAGAACTGTCATGGGAACAGGGGGGTCCTTATATGTCCCTTCAAACATCCCCTCCGCTAAGGAGAATCTCAATTCAAACTTAGCGCAAAGGGTGATGCTTAATCCCCCACAGGGGTTGATCAATACTCCCGACCCCAAAATGAGGGGTAACTGTTCCCATTGCGTGGTGCAAGTCATCTTATTTGATGGTTTCTTAATGGTCACCCATGCTTTTGTACAACCCCCACATATACATACATATATATATATATATATATACATATTCACCCCCGCTACCCCCCGCCCCCCCACCCACACAAATAAACAAATATGTATATATGTATATGTATATATGCATATATATATATATATAATCTTATAATATGTAAATATATCATATATATATATATGCACATACATACATATTTAGGGGACCCCTGGCGAAAGCAACGGTGTTGGAGCTTGGGAACCGGCGACTTCTCGCACTCGTCGCCTCTCTGGCCGGGCCGAAGAGAAGCACGCGGAAGGCCATGGCGGGTGAAACGGCGCTGGAGATCAGACGGCGGTTGGGTAGCTCGTCTCTTTTGCGGATCACCCTTGATTTTTTGTTCGCGGGTGGGATTGAAACCCCCATTCCAATGTGATACTGAGAGGTCAACCCCTCTGCATTCTGTAAGACAATCTGGAGGGGGATGGTTTTTTGTTTGGGGGGGGGGCACCTCTGTTTGGCTGGTTTGAAGGGGAAACCAAACAGAAAGGGTCCCCCTATTTGGAGACAGACCCATTTTGGCGGGTACCCCTTTTTGGTTGGTTCTGGCGGGTCCCCGTAGTTTGTTGCAGACCCATTGTTGTGCCGGCCGTTGGGAGGCCTTTCCGGGCGCAAGCGAAATGAGTCTGAGACCATGCCGCGGGAAGCGAGCTTGGGAGATCTGGACATTCGCAGTTTCCCCGAGAAATCACTCAACACCAAGACCCCTGTCTTCGGATTCAGTGCAATGTCCTCCTCTCAAAAAAACAACTCACCAGATCCGGGCGAGTCGGCATGGGCATGGAAGTTGGTGCAATTTGATGTCTTGCGCCTCCATTTCAGGCTAGAGTTCGGTGACTCCGGATTCATCTTCAGGTTGCCTGCGAGTTCTGGACAACATCCGAGCTTGAAAACAAAGGAGTCAGATATATGTGGTCATCGCCCAAAAACAGCTGCATTCCGTAGAATCATACCTGCGCCTAAAATGCTATAGATTGGTTTCGGGTGACCGCGTAACGGAGAATCACTTTGCCATAGTCCGTGTGAAATAATTCGCCTTCCCTGAACAAGACCCCAAGATCGGCTGATTTCCGCCCGTGTAAGCATCCCCCCCCCCCCCGGCCCGCGTCACAAGGCTGCATTCGGGTTGGAAACATGTTGCCTGCCTGCCCAGCCGCACTGACTTGCACGAACGGGGCCAGGCCGTCGCTCACTTCCTGTTGAAGCACCAAAAGCCAAGAAGACCATGATCACCTTGATCGGTGGGCTCGCCGCCCATCCACCCCAACAACCCACCAACCCACCTACCCACCGCGCTCGTTTTCGTCGCACTACCGCATCGTTCGGCCGATGGGAAAACTGAAGAATGGTCGCAGTCTGGGTCTTTGGTGCTGCTGCAATGCTCACTGGCTCTTGCGACCATGGGCTATGGGAAATGACCTAGCCCAGCACAGGGGCCATGTCAACAGCAAGCATGAAGAAAGAAGTACGGCCGAGACAAAGAAGCAAACATCGAAAAAACAAACAGTCCTTTCCACGCATGCGCCAAACTCCAAACTCCTTGGGTTGCTCGTATACATCTTGATAACCCCTGCCGGAAAAAAGATGAGCTAGCTCTCCCATGCCTGCGATGCTCTGCGCTCTCTCACCGATGATTCCTGTCCTCGATGGCACCCGGCGCTTTGTGGGATTCAAAAAGGAGGGGGTTGTCCAAAAAGTAGAGACCCCCAGTTGGATGTTGTTGCAAGGGACTCCAAAGAGAAACTGCATGTTTTTGGGGCGCCTACTCTTGTCATGGACAAAAGTCTGGGAATTGGATGCGGCGCCGGACGGTTTGGACGCATGGCATGCGCAAACAACAACGCGCGGTTTGGTGTGATAGAGCGAGTTCGTGGCTCGCATGTTGGCGCTCAAGTCGCAGAATCCGACGGGGTATACTCCTTCAAACTTCTCTAGACTGGGTGCATGCACGCAGGTATCCAGGCTGAGAAAGGCGCTGGCTTCAACTTTCATTCCATCAAACATGTTGGATTCACTCCGCTCGTTTCCGCCCTGAAGCAAAGCTGTTGGCAAGGCCGGGCAAACAGAACGCGTCTTACTAAGGCTGCCTTTCGGAGCGTCCTTTCAGGGATATTGCCACACGTGTTTGGAATTCTATGCACATGGCTAAAACCAAAATGTTATGCTGTTGTAGCTCTCAGCAAATGCTCAATTCAAGAATGCAATATCGAACGAGACTCTACGCTAAGGCAGCCATTGATGGTTGCGCGCACTGCTGTCAATGTGGCAATTCGAGACCTGTCATGAATTGAATATTGCCTTCCGCTTTGCCACATGACGCAGAACTGTCATAAATTGCTGCCAGAGATCCCAGAAAGGCGTTCAACCAGGGGGCCCCGAAAGGCCTTGATTGGCTATTATTGGTAAGAGCGTCAAGCTCGAACTACTTGGAGGAAGGGATAATTGCTCGGCACAGCATCTAGTCCCAGTTCGTGTTTCTATGTGGGCAAGTGTGCAAATCCTGGTAGGCGCCCATGCGCCAATAGGATCAGTGCATCCTTTTTTGAACAAAGTCCTTGCTCTCCCTGAGCTTCTAGCTGAGCTACCATGGGCTGGTCTGCATGAAGCGAATCCAACCAACCAAACAAACAAACAAATAAAACAAAACAAAACAACTCAAAACAACTCAAAACAAAACAATAAACCAATCAACCCAACCCAAACCCAAGCCCAACCAAACCCAACAAAACCCAACCGCCCGCATGAGGGCCCGACGACCATGTCGTTCCATTTGAAGTCGTGGAACCTCGGATTCCAACCCGAAACGAGAAAATATCTCGGGCCACAGCCCACAAACAGGAGAAGATACACCAAAGAGTGGGCCTTTGGAAACAAGAAGTGTCATTAGGAAAATATGAAGACACTCTGCTCATTGGTTTGCCCTGGTGAATCGTTTCATTCCTCCTCGAGTCGAACAATTAGGAGGCCTTCTGTCCAAGACACTAGTCCAAAGAAATGGATTCCGCTTGAAAAAAGCCCCAACACACATTTGGTCCAGTCTGGGACCAGCCGCTGCAACTTCGAGGGGATCACCGGTTTGATCCGGCCACGGAACTCAGAAACCCTGAAATGGTGCCGGCAAAAACAATGCCCTAAAAGGTGGATTTCTCCACGTTCTTTGACCTTTCATTTCAGGCCATGGGTTCCAACAAAAACGACCTGAGACAGGCTCAGAGTGGCTTTAGGATGTAGCCGAAGCTTGGGCTCCAAGGGAAAGCCCCCAAAGGCCCCTTGCAAGGCAGCTCTATAGGCCAAGAGCTTGGGACTAGGCGAACCAATTGGAACCAATTTGGTCATGGGCTTCGGGGTTTCCACTTGGCCCTTGAAAAACCAAAACAAGGAAAGTATCTTCTTGAAAAGAACCTCAAACTTTTTGCGCCGTTAGAGACAGAGTCATTGGTCACAAAATCATCATGCATCCGGAGAAAAAAAGACTCTGCCATCCGACAGTGTGGCACCCCCGGGGCTTCGGTCCTCAACAAGAATGGTCCTCACGTAGGGGGCATTCATGTTTTCTTCCCCGAAAAGGACAACCCGCTGGTCCATTGGATCAGGTCCATTGACGCAGGGAATTGTCATAGCAAGAACTACCATTTTGGTGATGTGCAAAGTTGGCTTGAAATAAAGAGTGCTTTCTGGGCTGTTTGCTTGATCACTCAATTCTGTGAATGGTTCCCATTGGACGGGTAAATGGGTGTCAGCATTGTTTGGAGGGAACCCGGTTTTGGGGTCGCTTTTGAAGAGCAACCCAAAGCAATTGTTGGTTCATTTTTTGGAGGGTTCGCTATTTTTAGACAGCCCAAATGGGCGCCTCACCGAATGTTCTACCCTTTGGTCATCTGACGTTTGGAGCTCTACAACCCAGTCACCCTTCTGGGAAAGCCGGCGGTGCCACCGTAGGCATGGCGCCGAAGGGGTGGCACTTCTTCCAACTGGGCGGAAGCAAATCGGGCGGTGGGAAAGAAGCCATGGACATAGGTGTCCTTTTAGGGGAAATAGATGGCCCTGGTAGCTGATTAAACCACCAGGTAAACCAGGGCGATCTATGTTTCGACCAAAACAACCAAAAACGACACCTATGGCCATGGAGCTATGCAGCTCCAGGAAGCTTTTCTCGTGACCTCTACATCAAGGCCACAAAAACCCGGAGCGAACGCACGAATCCGTTCGTTTCTGAGCACAGAGTGCGCGACTTTTAGGGAGTTTGGGGGTGGCCAAATAAAAAAGCACGGCAACAACTTGTGTGTGTGTGTGTGGGTGTGTGTGTGTGTGTCTGTGTTGGTACTGAACTTGTAGTCAGACCGCTGCATAAAGGTTTGAATTTGTGCGCGTGAAGCACATGTTGAGCTTACGGATGACAAAAAGACTACTCACTGCAGACCATACAAAGAACGCATTGAGCGTAAACGCGATGCCACTGCACAATCAACATGACTATTGATGAGAACGTTACTCTCTTCTGAAACAGCAGTGCACCACATGCGCAAGCCTCGGCCGCAAGGAGCTCTAAGGGAAGTCTCACCCTTTGGCGAAAAAGGATCACCTACCAGTGCTACCAAAAGCAGGGCCTTTCCACAGTGTGTCCAAAAGCTGCTTCAGGCACGTAAAGCAGTGAAGGGTTCCGTCACAGACCGGCAGTGACCGGCAAGCTCACAGTTGTTCCCCTCCAAAGACTCTGCCAATTTGAGCATCTGCGCCGACCGTGGGGGGCCACCGAGGCCGACGCTTCTCGTAACTGCCGTACATGCCCTGCCAAGCGGCTTGAAACGGGTAGATACGTGCAAACCGCCCGAATCCGGCCACTGACCAACGGCAAAGAACATGTTTGGAAGTCCGAAAGTAGTACGCATGAATCCCCGGTATGAACCCCTTGCACAACTTGTGATGGATAAACTGTCTGGTAAACCAGCAATCTCACTGGTGCAACTGTTTGGTGTGGATTTTGGAAACCCGCCACACCATGGTCGCTGCTCCAGTAAAGGAAACCAAGGACATGTCAATCGCTCCCCTGGTGCAATAAATTTTGACCCATACCGACAAGCTTTCCTCTTCAGTCCTGGTCAGCTTTCCTTTCAAACTCCTTCAGTGGAAGCCGTTAGCTTGCAAGGTATACGCCACATCCTTGCCCAGCTTTCCAGTTCCTTCAGTGGGAACCTTCAGCTTGCAAGCTGGACACAACAAAACCACCGTCGTTTTTGCCCACGCATCCCTGACTCGTTTTTCCAACCCATGGTTTTCACAAGAACGACGCAGAAATCCAAACAGCCAATCCAAAAGGCCACATAAAATCTCGTTGGTCACCGCCTTCATCCAGCCCTGGCGCTTGGAGCGGCGCCGCATGAAGCGCATGCGGTCCTCGGCGCACTTGGGCTGGTTGGGTTGGGTTTGGTTTGGTTAGTACCTGAGCAACCCTGATTTCCGATAAGCCCCTGGTTTCCGACTCGGTTCCCCAACGTGCCCAGCAAAGGTGATTCAGTCCCATGAAATCATTTCCCTGGTGCGACTTCTGGATTTCGGAACCATCCACAGTAGGGTGGGTTTCGGCTGGGTTTACCTTGAGTTTAGGGATTGGCTTGATGAGCGTGCCGCCTGTGCGAGGCTTGCGGCCGAGTCCATCTGTGGATGCGTCGTCAAATAGCGATTGGTTGAGGGTCACCCTTGCTGTGATACCCGTCATTCATTCTCACAATGCTTTGCTGGTGAACACTCCCATGCCATTCAACACCTGGCACCATACCTTTCGACTCACCAGACCATTCCGTCCAAGGGGCCTCCTTGGAGAAGCTTGGTTCCGGGTTTCGACCCATCGGGACATCGGGGGACATCTGATTTCGACGCGAAGTCGGAGTCGAGAAGATCAGTCATGTTCGTACGAAACCGCAAGGCCATCCGCCGTTCACGGGTTACATTGATCCGGGTCTCTTTTTTCCCAAAAGCATCTCTGATGCTTGGGTTCTGCTTTAGGTTTTCTCTTAAGGTGCCTGGGAGCGATACAAGCTGTGACAACGGAGATAAGAAGGGATTTCCATTTGGTTGCGCTGCAGACCGGGCGTGCGATGCTGTGGGTGCAGACCGGGCGTACGAGGCTGGCTGGGGGGAAGGCGGTGTGGTGCAGACTGGGCGCGCGGACGCTCGTGACAAGCGGAAACCGCCCCCGAGCAAGACGGGCGCGGGGGACGCTCGTGACAGGCCGAAACCGCCCCGAGCGAGACGGGCGCGGGGGACGCTCGTGACAGGCCGAAACCGCCCCCGAGCGAGACGGGCGCGGGGGACGCTCGTGACAGGCCGAAACCGCCCCCGAGCGAGACGGGCGCGGGGGACGCTCGACGCTCGTGACAGGCCGAAACCGCCCCCGAGCGAGACGGGGCGCGGGGGACGCTCGTGACAGGCCGAAACCGCCCCCGAGCGAGACGGGCGCGGGGGACGCTCGTGACAGGCCGAAACCGCCCCCGAGCGAGACGGCGCGGGGACGCTCGTGACAGGCGGAAACCGCCCCCGAGCGAGACGGGCGCGGGGGACGCTCGTGACAGGCGAAACCGCCCCCGAGCGAGACGGGCGCGGGGGACGCTCGTGACAGGCCGAAACCCGCCCCCGAGCGAGCGAGACGGGCGCGGGGACGCTCGTGACAGGCCGAAACCGCCCCCGAGCGAGACGGGCGCGGGGGACGCTCGTGACAGGCCGAAACCGCCCCCGAGCGAGACGGGCGCGGGGGACGCTCGTGAGAGGCCGAACCCGCCCCCGAGCGAGACGGTCGCGGGGACGCTAGTGACCGGGAAACCGCCCCCGAGCGAGACGGGCGCGGGGGACGCTCGTGACAGGCCGAAACCGCCCCCGAGCGAGACGGGCGCGGGGACGCTCGTGACAGGCCGAAACCGCCCCCGAGCGAGACGGGCGCGGGGACGCTCGTGACAGGCCGAAACCGCCCCCGAGCGAGACGGGCGCGGGGGACGCTCGTGACAAACAACAAAAAATAATAAAAAAACACAAAACAAAAAAAAAAAAACAGAAAGAACAAAAAAAAAAAAAAAAAAAAAGAAAAAAACAAAAGAAAAAAAAAAAACGAAAAATGAAAAAAAAAAAAAAAAAAACAGACGGGCGCGGGGAGGCCGAAACCGCCCCCGAGCGAGACTGGCGGAAACCGCCCGCGAGCGAGACTGGCGCGGGGGACGCTCGTGAGAGGCCGAAACCGCCTCCGAGCGAGACGGGCGCGGGGGACGCTCGTGACAGGCCGAAACCGCCCCCGAGCGAGACTGGCGCGGTGGACGCTGGTGACATGCGGAAACCGCCCGCGAGTGAGACTGGCGCGGTGGACGCTCGTGACAAGCGGAATCCGCCCCCGAGCAAGACGGGTGCGGGGGACGCTCGCGACAGGCCTTAACCGCCCCCGAGCGAGACGGGCGCGGGGGACGCTTGTGACAGGCCGAAACCGCTCCCGAGCGAGACTGGCGCGGTGGACGCTCGTGACATGCGGAAACGCCCGCGAGCGAGACTGGCGCGGTGGACGCTCGTGACATGCGGAAATTTCACCGCCCTCAAGCGAGACTGGCGCGGTGGGCGCTCGTGACATGCGGAAACTGCCCGCGAGCGAGACTGGTGCGTTGGACGCTTGTGACATGCGGAAACCGCCCGCGAGCGAGACTGGCCGCTCGTGACATGCGGAAACCGCCCGCGAGCGAGACTGGCGTGGTGGACGCTCGTGACATGCGGAAACCGCCCGTGAGCGAGACTGGCGCGGTGGACGCTCGTGACATGCGGAAACCCCGCCACGGAGCGAGACTGGACGCTGGACGCTCGAGACATGCGGAAACCGCCCGCGAGCAAGACTGGCGCGGTGGACGCTCGTGACAGGCGGAAACCGCCCGCTAGCGAGACTGGCGCGGCGGACGCTCGTGACATTGGGAAACCGCCCGCGAGCGAGACTGGCGCGGTGGATGCTCGTGACATGCGGAAACCGCCCGCGAGCGAGACCGGCGCGGTGGACGCTCGTGACATGCGGAAAACGCCCGCGAGCGAGACTGGCGCGGTGGACAGCTCGTGACATGCGGAAAACCGCCTGCGAGCGAGACAGGAGCGGTGGACGCCTGGAGCGGTGGACGCTCCTGACAGGCGGAAACCGCCCTCAATAGCGAGACTGGCGCGGTGGACGCTCGTGACGAAGGATAAACCGCCCAGCAAGCGAGACTGGCCGCGGTGGACACGCTCGTTACAGGCGGAAAAACCGCCCGCACAGCGAGACCTTGGCGCGGTGGACGCTCGTGACATGCCGGTGACAGCGGAAAAACCGCCGTTTAGCGAGACTGGCGCGGTGGACGCTCGAGACAGCGCCTCCGCTGGAAACAAGCAACTGGTGGGGAGGCGTGGCAACGCACGTGACATGCGGAAACTGCCCCCGAGCGAGACTGGCGCGGGGGACGCTCGTGTCGTGACATGCGGAAACCGGCGCGGTGGAGGCTCGTGACATGCGGAAGCCGCCCCCGAGCGAGACTGGCGCGGTGGACGCTTGTGACATGCGGAAACCGCCCGCGAGCGAGACTGGCGCGGTGGACGCTCGTGACATGCGGAAACCGCCCGCGAGCGAGACTGGCGCGGTGGACGCTCGTGACATGCGGAAACCGCCCGCGAGCGAGACTGGCGCGGTGGACGCTCGTGACACGCGGAAACCGCCCGCGAGCGAGACTGGCGCAGCGGACGCTCGTGACAGGCGGAAACCGCCCGCGAGCGGGACTGGCGCGGTGGACGCTCGTGACATGCTCGTGACAGGCGGACACCGCCCGCGAGCGAGACTGGCGCGGTGGACGCTCGTGACAGGTGGAAACCGCCCGCGAGCGAGACTGGAGCGGTGGACGCACGTGACATGCGGAAACTGCCTGTGAGCGAGACTGGCGCGGTGGACGCTCGTGACATGCGGAAACCGCCCGCGACGTGACAGGCGGAAACCGCCCGCAAGCGAGACTGGCGCGGTGGACGCTCGTGACATGCGGAAACCGCCCGCGAGCGAGACTGGCGCGGTGGACGCTCGTGACATGCGGAAACCGCCTGCAAGCGAGACTGGCGCAGTGGACGCTCGTGAAAGGCGGACGAGCGAGACTGGCGCGGTGGACGCTCGTGACCCTCGGAAACCGCCCGCGAGCGAGACTGGCGCAGTGGACGCTCGTGACATGCGGAAACCGCCCGCGAGCGAGACTGGCGCGGTGGACGCTCGTGACATGCGGAAATCACTCGCGGGCGAGACTGGCGCGGTGGACGCTCGTGACATTCGGAAACCGCCCGCGAGCGAGACTGGCGCGGTGGACGCTCGTGACACGCCGGCGAGCGAGACTGGCGCGGTGGACGCTCGTGACATTCCGGCGAGCAAGACTGGCGCGGTGGACGCTCATGACATGCGGCAACCGCCACGTGCGCGGCTCCATGTGAACAGCCCGGCGCTACCTGACCCGAACAAACGGTGCCAATGTGTTTCTAGGATGAACCCTCTCTTCAGGGTTCGCCCTACTTATTTGGAAGCAGCCTGGAAGCACGTTGACATGAATATGCTGAGCACACTCGGCCCAAACAAAAGGGCGCATGAACATCCGAACAGCTGACCCCGGTCTACGCAGATTGTGGTAACACTGTGTCTCAGACTTGTTTCGGACAGGCGTCAGACCCACCAAGTGACCGAGGCTTGTCCACACCGAGCCCCCCGCAAAAGCGCAGCGCCGGCCCGTCTCCACACACCTGCGGCGAATCCACCCAACTTGCCATCCACACGCATCCAATTGACAACGTGCGCGGCCCTTTCCACAAAGTCACCAGTTGCAATTGGTTGCGAATGGGAAAATAGGTGGAGAAACTAACGAATCCAAGCAAGCTTACGAAGCAAGATTGTGAAGGCCACGTGCACGGCTCCATGTGAACAGCCCGGCGTTCCAGGTGCGCCAACATTGTCATTTTTGCCGCACACCTGACCCAAACAAATGGTGCCAATGTGTTTCTAGGACAAACCCTCTCTTCAGAGTCTGTGGCCTCTTGGGGTTCGCCCTACTTATTTGGAAGCAGCCTGGAAGCACGTTGACATGAATATGCTGAGCACACTCGGCCCAAACAAAAGGGCGCATGAACATCCGAACAGCTGACCACGGTCTACTCAGATCGTGTTGTAACACTGTGTCTCAGACTTGTTTCAGATGGGTGTAGAGCGAGCTTATGCCTTGCTTCCAACTTGGGAGTGGTAGTTTGTGCGGATCCATTTTCGGATTTCTGCGATTGGTTCTTCATGATGAATCGGATGACTTCGTGCCTTCCATGTAGTGCGGGGCCTGTCATGTTTCACCCGTGCCTTTGCCTGTTTCTCTGCGCTTGAGTCGCGGTTGCTCCCCTTCTTCATCTGTTTTGGGGTTGATTTCCCAACTGTGAACAACTTAAATCTTGGTTTGCCTTCGGACCCTTGAGCCGGAAAACAACGGGATCCACATGCCATGGGGAGTGAGGCTGGTTTGCTTTTGGGTTCCCGGGCTCCTCTTGTTTTTTACATGTGCTGAGCAGAAGCTTCACTCATCTTCCATGACCTACATCAAACCAAGCATTCACCCCTGAGCTGTCTCCCCCGAGAGTGGAGTGCCCCCCAAAATGTAGGGGGGAACCCATTTGCTTTGGCGTCCATTTGCCTAAGCTGCCTGGAAAACAAGAATGTCCAGCGATGGATTCCCTTGGAAAAAACAAAAAGGGAAAATATGAAACGGTCATTATGGGCAAGAGCCAAATCGTACTCCCAGTGAACATCCGATTCAATCCAACCACTAAAATAGGCAACCAAAAATGGGTGGGGAATTCACCTACCAACCAAAACATGGTGCACCTACCAACCAAAATGGTTGATCCGAAAACGGTGTTGACTGCCATTTCACCTGGACGCACGTCCTTTGGGCCCCCGTGCGCGGCTCAGGATCCAGGGGTCCCACTCCTTGGGCGGCTCCTGTGCCCGAAACCGAACAGATCCAGCGGTGGCTGAACGAAGCTCCAAGCTTTGCCTCGAGATCCCAAGCGCAGCCTGACCTTCGAAGAGATCCCTTCTTTAGATTGTTATCATAAAATTGACCCTTTTGTCTATAGTAGTATTTGAGAATTCTGTGGAGATTGAACTTGTTGTCTTCAAACTCGCCTCGCTTGCTGTTCTCTCACAACCATTGCTGATCTTCACTCATTCCATCAGCTCCTCCCGATCATTCGGAAGCGATCCTCACTGAGACCCAGGTTTCCCCTCGCCTTGCAGCGAGTCGCGAGTCGAGTGCCCGGTTTCTCCAAAATGCGATGCATCCGCTGTCAGGCGAATGCCTCACATGTGTCATTTGCACCGAGGACTCATCTCCCTCGTCCAGGCTTCTGCCAGCTGGAAGCATGGCTTTGGCCGGCCCCAGGCACAACTCCCCGGCGAAACGACAACACCCAAACCACCGCAGAAACAGATCTGGTGCGCAGGTTCCACAAGCTGCCCCTCCAGAAGTTCCTGCCCCAGACCTTTTGGCGTCACCATAACCACAAGTGACCCATGTGTCATCTAAGGCACCAAGAAACGCGGGCGGAGCTCGCGGAGCTCGCGGAGCCCACGGAGCAAACACCTTCTGACCCCATCAAGAACTCAAGTGCCAAGGGCGAGGAAACCAGAGCTTCATCTTGATATCCCATTGGAGTTGGGATTGTTTGACGAAGATTCCCATCAAACACTGTGTTTCCAGTGCTTCACAAATAGGTGAGGCAAAGTTCCATGAAAATAACAAATAACTACAGCTGAGGGCAAAAGATTGGGCAAAATGAGGAGCACCCCCCCGGTGTTTCTCTCCTCGCGATCTCCCGGCGACTGGGCATCGTAAAGGGTCTGGCACGCGGAGCTTTGCATCGATCCAAGGCAAGCCAAGGTCTCCAATGTGCCCAGCGAAACGGAACTCAGCTTCCCTCCAAGTGGCGTACATTGGAGGAAACGGTGTCCCTCCCTCAAAAGTCAGCGGTTCAAATCCAAACCAAACCAACTCGGAGAGCATATGTTCAGATCTTTCATGTTTAGTCACCCTTTTCTTGAAACCCATCTGAACCCTGTGCACTCCATACCATCGACCTCTTCACGGAACCCAGACGGCGCACGGAACTGCTCCATGGAACCAAAGCACGCTTTCTGCGGCACAACCAATGGTAGATGCCACCAATTTGTTTATAATCCCATGCTTGAAAAAACATCTTTTGAATGCGGATCTTTTGATCAACCCCAAAAACAAAACGGAGAGTCCCTTCAACGCGCGCGAAGTCGCGCGCGCAAGCGCGCTCAATCGCTCGCGCCTTGCCCTTCTTGATGGCCTCGCTGAGCTTCCGGATGATGAGGTCGATGGACCTGGCGAGTCCGGGCCGAGGGGCCCCTCGGGGCCCTTAGGGCAGGGAGTCCATTTTGGGGATTGCCCGCACACCAAACGGAATGCGGGTTTGACTTCTAGGACGAAAGAAACAGGAGAAACGCCCTAAAATGGCTGGGGGGGAGGGAATTCCGGGAACCACCGAAAGCAAAAAAAAAAACTAAGAGGGGTGGCTAACGTTTCCGCTTGGCTTCACATTAAATACCAACTGAAAGGGGACCATGTTGAGAAACTCCCCCATGAGACGCATGACGCCTGCAGGTGCGGGCTTTCGTGAAAGCAGCTCACGGATTCGGGCAGAAAACCGAACAAAGCAAACCATAGCCCTCTAAACAGCCTTCTCTAGTTGCTGATCGCATCCTCCCCCAGGTGCTCAGCAAACCCGCACAAAAGATGGCGGGCCCCGGAAGCTTGGACAAAGTCTGAGGTATGCTTGACCAAATTGGCGGCGGAGTTCGAACCGCTCTGCTCGAGTTGTCAGCCTTCTCAGAGCCTGCCACAAAGAAGCATGGCCCACCTCCAGTGAGCAAACCTCGCTCTGATCACGCAATTAGAAGCTGCCAGTGCCATCGTAATATTTCCACATTCACAGGAAGTTGGACGTCAGATGTCTGTCAGAATGCCTTGCAGCCCCTTGGCCCCCAAAGTTCAGGGGTACCTGACACATGGCTATGTCGCTATGGCATCTTCGGAAATGTATTCGGACGGGTCTGTGCAAGCAGCAAGAAAGAAGGTCAGTGCAAGCTCAGAGCAGACTTGGGGTTGCAAACTCACCTCGCAATGCCTAGAAAGCCCAATTTTTATGGCAGGCAGTCACGTGGATGCTTGCAATATTAATGAGCTTGACACGTGCTTTGCATGCGCAGCATGCTACGAAGCCCATATCCCTCCTTCATCGGCAGTCACCACCCCAGATTTTGACAGCTTCCCTATGCAACTAGCTTCCAGAAATTGTTGGAAAGAACACCGCTGGCGCTGTCTTCGCCTTGAGATTTGCAGAAGCCTACACCCGCAGAAGAAAAAAACACCGTAGCCTAGCTGCGCGCCAGAGTGCGATCCTTCCAAACACAACAACGGGCTCCCGGCCACTGCCGCCCGACAGCCACCAGACGTCGAAAGCATTGCCTGCTGCTGGAGGTGTTCGAGGGGATGGGAATGTCCACGGATTTCGGGTTGTTATTGGAGTCCACCATGCCTCGGCAAAGACTGGTCTCCGGGTCCGAGAAAGAAAAAAAAAAGAAGCTCGTTTTCGCGAGCGACTTGGCGACGCGCGACCTCGAGGCTCGGAGCGGTGAAAAAAACCTTGCTGGTTCTCAGCAGGGAATGAGGGAATGACCCCCTATAAACCATCCCTGATGGTTTCCTTTAAGGGATCCAGTTCATTCCCAAGACCCGGAAGGTCATTGCTACCTATCGCACCAGCAAGAAAGAACTGGGGCCATGCGAGAGGGAAGCCTTTCCACGGATCGGGCTGAACCGGAGCTGAAAGACTGCGGGCTGAAGCTCGCTGACACATCCCAGCCCCAGCTTCTCTTTTGCTCTTGAGCCAGCTTGCGCACCCCACAAACAAGTTGGTGAAACGTCCAACAAAGCAACCTGAGCTGATCGAAAATAACCCACAAACAAACATGAAA